GAGTGTTGGGAGCTGGGTTTGGCAGGATTTGGAGGGCTGCAGGCGCTGTGTTCTGTGGCTCTAACACCAGATTCCCAGGCATCCCTGACGGGGAGGAGCTGTCGACTCTAAGCCCAGAGAGAGCCTATGGGTGGGGGCAGTGTCCCTGAGGCTGCTTCCCCCAAAGTTCATGGCCTCCTGGAGGAAGGAGAAAAGATGGTGGGGAGGAAGGGAAGAAAGGATCCCATGGGAGCCCTGAGCCACTTTGACCCCTTACCTCATCCCCGGATCCCAGGAGCCGTGCCCCTGGGGCCGAATGGAGCCACAGAGCAGGTGGAAAGGCTGTACATTTGCTGTCCCACCTCTCGCGTGTTGCGTCCTTAGGCAAGTGACTCCATTTCACAGGCTCTCCTTTTCACGCCAGTAAACTGGAGATGGAACATTGCCGCTGCAATCGTCAGAGGCTGCCACAGAGAAGGCTTGGAAGCTTCTAGCATACAGTATTTGGCTGGCATCAAATTCCTTCCCTCCGTCTGGCTGTCTCCTGTAGGATACCTGCCTGATGTCCCTGCCGGAGTACAGTTATGTCTCTATTCTGATCGTGAACGTAGCAGATGTTACTGCTGGGCACCTGCTGTGCTGGGCAGCGCAAGGAGGGTGAACCAAGGGCAAAAACATGGACTCCTACCTCCGAGAGAAGTACAGCCGTGCTGAGCAAGACGCAGGCAAATATAAACTTCCAACTAATCAAACTGATATACCTCAGTGCCAAGTATGAGGCATCCTAAGGATGACTGCCATTTAGAGAGAGAGCTTGGTGGGGCTGGAGGGCTTCTTGGAGGAAGTGATAGGTAGGAGTTTCTGAAATGCTGGAAGGATTTTCATAGGGAAGGGGGGTTAGATAGCACAACTTCTGGTGGAGGGTTGTCCAAGAACAGTGGCATGAGCCAATAATCGGGCAGGAGTGCCCATGATGCCCCCCTGAAGGTTTTGAGTACCATTGGGATGGAGCTCTGAGGTCATGGGTTCAAGGGAGGAAGAGGTCCGGAGAACTCAGGAGGACTGGGTGGGAAACTGTAGGTGCCCAAACTGCAGCAGGAGATCCAGGACTTTATTCCAAGGGACAAACCTGGAGGCACAGATGTCACAAGGGAATTACATGATGAAGTATGGCAGGATGGAGTGGGAAGGTCAAGGAGAAGGAACTAAAGCAATCAAGGTGAGTGACAGGGGTGAACCAAAGTTTGATTTAATATCTGGGCCTGGGTAGGACTGGAATAGTCCAAGCATTTTGGAGATGGACATGACCTTGGATGATTTACTCTTGTGTAGACATTTGAGAAACAGAACCCAACTCAAGGCCACCCAGCTAGTAGGGGCAGAGTCAGGAAATGAACTCACGTTAAAGGTTTAGTGCAAGAGGATGAGGAAAGAATGACTCTGCCTCTGGAAGGGTCAGGTTTGGGGCACACGGGGACGTGGGACCTGATGAATCCAGCAGGCTGCTGAAGATGTGGGTTTGGTGCCCAGGGAGGTATCAGCTATGGTTTGGGGACAATCTCATCCTAGAATAGAGGACACGGTTAGAACCCCAAGAGGCAGTGTGCTAAGAGAAAAGGCCAGAAGCCCAAAGACTGAATCTTGCAGTCCAAGAACAGGATCCAGGAGAAAGGGTGGCCACAGAGGTTGGATGTGGCCCAGATGTGAATGTGGTGATCAAGAAAACAAGTGTTGGTTAGTGCCGTCCAAGGGCTTGAACACTTGGCTCCGATCCCCCCCAGCCCCACTCAAGCAGATGGCGGCAAACTCTCCCACTCCCACTCCCAAACCCCACTCCCACTGAGAACATGGGGTCTTTTCTTCCTCCCCTTAAATGTTGGTGGGCTCTGTGATGAATGTGCCCAGAGACTAGGATGGAAGGGACGCCATGCCGGCTTCCAGGCGCAAGTCTCCAGAGATGGGCTGCTCCAACTTTCTGCTCTGAGAACATTCTCTTGGAACACAGCCACTGTGTTGTGAAAAAGCCCCTGAAGTCCTGGAGAATGGTTCAAGGGAGGAGGAATCCAAGCTCCTGGTTGGTGGCTAGGAGACTCGCCAGCTGTGTGATGCCACCATCTTGAAAGGAGAGTCTGGTTGAGTTGCCCAGGGAGGTAAGCCATTCCTGATGAGTTCTGCTCTGATTTTCGAGCAAAATAAAGATCGTTCCTAAGTTACTAAAGTGTGGGGTGTTTGTTATGCTACAATATCCTGTCTCCTCTGTACAACTGGGTCTCTTCTCCAAGGGCAAGGTTAATGGTGGGGCACCCATTGGAGCTTCCCTCTCCCCCCAGCCTCCTTTTGCTTCTGTTCTGGTGGTTGGTGACCTGCACGGGACTTAGGGCTCCATTTCAGTCAATGGCAAGGATGGCCCAAGACCTCTAGGGGGGGTGTCAGGAGGGGTCACACAGAGAGGCTCACCAAGTCTCAACAAGGGCAGAACAGAACAGGCTCTGGCCCCTGAGTTACCCACTGGAAGCCCAAAGCCCAGCATCTGGTACCATAAACACTCAGAAAAGACAATGTCAGCTGAGCCCCTGCTGAGCCTGTCGTGATAAACTGGGGCCTCAGCTGAACCAGGGGACAAATAGCCAAAGCATTTAAACAACTCGAAGCCCATTTTTCTTTCCTGTACATTTGTTTATTTTAAAAAAGTGTAGGAAATGAATAAAATGGTACCTAAAAAGTATCTACAACGAAATAAATTATTCCCAGTTAAGCACTGAAGAGCCACACAAACCAGTCCTCTAACCTTGACCAAGGTCACGTTTCCAATGTCGGTTGGAGGGAGTAAGCCCCAGCCCTCCTTGTGGGGGCGGGGAGCAATGTCAAGAGGCTGAGGGTAACTAGGCAGGAGCTCGCCTTTTAAAAGGGAAATGTGCCAGGGGCCGCACCCAGGATGTCAGCCAAACAACAAACTCTTCCTTCTGGAAAGAGTTCGAGAGGCCTTGGAACACACACGTTTAGGAGATTGCAAAACTCCTTTTCTTGGAAGCAAAGTAGCACAGGCAAGCAAGTCCAGACAGTGCGTACCCAAGGTGAATTCACTGAACACGATGGAGCACATTTACTCTCTAAAGGAGGTTTAGCCACTGAAACATTGACCTTTGGACCGTGTCGGACAAGCCGGAACACGATCCCTCTCCTCGTGGATGAGAGCAGGGCCCACAGAGGCAAATGCTCCCTTTCCTTGGAGCTTGGCTGGTCATTAGTATAAAAGAGGGATGCGGGCCATGTATGAGAAAACACTTTCCTGAAACACACCAGCCTCGACGCCCGTCTTCTCCTGTGATAAGAGGCACATAAGGAGCCTAAACTTTCTATTTCATTATGAACAAATCAACCACCCCGGGGTGGGGGGTGGCGGGGGCAGTGATCAGTAGCCACACTCAGCATCAGTGATGGAGGCGAGAGGGAGTGGTGAGGACTGGGGCGAACTGGGGGATCCAGGAGCCTCACCTGCTGCTGTCAAGTGAGTGTGAGCCCTAGCAATGGTCAGATCTCCTGATCTGGATTTTTATGCAAAAAATTGCATGATTTTAAGTGTTAGGAACGAGTTCTTCAAAAAGATTCTGTAGGCCAAACAAAACACACACCTGTAGGCTGAGTCGTTTCACAGTCTCTCTCTCACAGCAGGACGGTGTAATAGGCAAAATCATAGGTTCCCAAAGACATCCATGTCCAAATCCCCCAGAACTTGAGGATATGTTACCTTAGGTGACAAAAAGGACTTGTCAGTGTGCTTAAATTACAGATCTTGAGATGGGGAGATCTTCCTGGATTATCTGGTTGGGAGGGCTTTGTAAGTGAAAGGTCCATAGAAGGCAAAGAAGGAGGGGCCTCAGTGTGACTGTGTCAGCACAAGTGACATTGTGTGACCAGCCATCGGAGGCCTGGAGTGTCTCTAAAAGCTCCAAAGAGCAGTCTCTAAAAGCTCGAAAAGGCAAGGAAACCGATTCTCTCCTCGAACCTCCAGAAGGAAGGCAGTTCCGCTGACTCCCTGATTTTAGCCCAGTGGGACCCACTTTGCCCCTCTGGTTTCAGAAATTTAGATAAGAAATCTAAGTTGTTTTAAGCCACCATGTTTGAGGTAATTGGTTACAGTAGCAACAAGGAGTGAATAGGGTGGCCATTCTCTGGTGTATTTTTAGACATTGCTTGAGGTTGAAAATACTCTCTAAATTCCTCTTTTTAAATGCCAAAGCATGGCTGTAGAGGGGACAGCCACACACACAGCAATTCAAGGACATTTTTCTTACTTCTAGGACTCGAGATAAATCTGTACGGTGGGATAACCACAGGCAGAGCAAGAGAACCAGGAAGTTGCTTCTCAGAGCCGTCAAACAGACACACCCTCTTTTGGCTGGACCCATAGCAAATCATTCCCACTTTCCATGGGGCAGGCACCTGTTTATCTAGTGGTTGGTGGATGTCAAAACCCAGATATCCAAACAGCTCGCGTGAGCTGTCACCATGTCAGGTAAAAAGAGCTACGTGGTTTTGCATTTGGCTTCTTAAATATATGGGACCACCAAATAAATAATAATAATAATAATAAGGCACACTGTCATTTCCATCCAGGGCACTCCAGTGGGAGCAGGGACCTTGGATGGGCTCTGAGGGATTGGAATTGTTGCCCTGAAGAGGTCCAAATCCAAATCCAAGTCCAGACCTCGTTAACATCCTCGTGCTTGGCGACTCACAGCTCTCCCCTCTCATTACGGGCTGGTTTACAACTCAACCCGAGTTTAGAAGGACATGGACTGTGACGATTGTATCCAGGTTGGAATTCATCACTTTCAACATCCCATCATTGGAATGAATCCACTTGGGACTCGGAGGTCAGTGGCATCCTGAAGAACCTCCTGCTGTTCCTTCCATGTAATTCCTCTTTAGGAGGAATTAAATCCTAAAGAGGAATTTAGGATTCTCAAATCAATGCTTGAGACCCCTGTTTTAGGCAAAGTCTTCGGGATGGGTCCAAGTTACTCCCCAGGCCCCTCTGGCTCATGGGTGTCCAGCAAGGGAATGTCTGTGTTCCCGTTGTTGGGGTGGGAGAAGGTATATGGTTCACTGTCAGACTCAGCAGGGAAGCCAGCAGATGGCTCGTCTGTGGTCAGCTTTGCAGTTGGGGCCCTGGAGTATACCAGGGGTGGGGAGGGGGGGCAGTCCCCTGTGGGCCCCTGGAAGGGCCGGTAGGTGTCCACCTCTGGCTGTAGGAAGGAGCCATTGGAGTCCTGTAGGAGATGCCCGTACACCATGGTATCATCGATGACAGCGTACACGTGGGAGTCACTGTCCTTTCGACCTTTCTGAAACTTTTTTGGCTGCATTGGCATCTGGGTGTTGATGTTGCCATTGTAGATGCCTACAGGCGGGCCTTTGTTTTCCTTCTTTTTCCTACCGAGAGAAGGGGAACAAGACAGAGTCAGGAAGAGCAGGATATTAGCTTGCTCCATTTGCATAACCCTATTGGAACTGAGGCCCTTTGGGGTTCTCGTATGGCCCCCCCAGGTCCCTCAAATCCCTTAGCCCTCGAAACTGAAACTACTGTCTTTGCGGGAGCATTTAGAAGGGACCATCTTCTGTCTCCAGTCTTCACAGCGGAAACAGGGAGCAGAGCGTGGTTGAGAGAGGGCAAGTTTAACACTGCACTTGGATTTGCTTCAGTGGACGCAGGGTATCCAGGGGTGGGAACAGCTGACAACCAGCCCGTCTTTGCTCCGAGAAAGGATGGTGGCCCAGGCCGACCACATCTGGTGTGGTCATGTCCCCGCCAACCCTCTAGCACGCAGTCTTTCCCGTAGCTAATGCTTCATCCCTCTTTTGCATGGGTACAAGCTCTGACCATCTGGATTCTAAATGATAGAACAGAGGGAGACTCGGGATGCAAGGCTGTGTCTTAGTTTTTAGCTGGAGTTGGGGACAGTGGGACTCACTATTAGCAGAGGGATCCAGGAACAGCCTGCATAAAGGGACAGAGCTCAAAAGAAGACAACATTCTGGCTGGGGCCCGCCAGAGCTCCTAGCAACGCCATTAACCTTTGCTTTGTAATGTTCTTTGGGACTTGAGTGTGGACGGGCATTAGCACTCTCCATGGGGGAAAACAAAGCTTCGCCCTCCATCTCCATGAGCCAAAAGCAGGGGACGCTGGCTTTTTAGCTGACTCGTGATTCAAATGGAGGACATTAGCTCAATTAACATAATGGACCCTATAATGCACTGAGAGCTCACTAATTGTGGACAGGCTCCCTGTCCTTTTCTGAGATAAAAATAATGTACTACATTCAGCTTGTAACACTGGATCTCTGGCTAGGATGATGGGTTCCAAAGGCTCCCACCTGAAACCCTGAGATGGACACCCCTCCCTTTGTGCTTCACGGAGCCTTGATCGTCTCCACCAGTGTTCTTCTCAGGACAGAACCGGGGCAGTTTAGAGATGGAGGCAAGGGCTGGACCCTCCTCTCACCCAGTTCCCCTCCTGAAGAGGACACCATGCTTCCTGATCTGGGTGGCAGAGACAGCACCACAGACAAGAAAGTTTCCTAGAGAAACCATAAAATGAAAGAAGTCCTTTCCCCCTGTGTGGATTTACACAATCCCATTTCTTGGAGAAGAGGCTTTTCCCTGGATCTGCCACAGGTGGCCCCTTCCCTATCACTAGAGACGTTTCTAGATAGTCTCACTGTGGACTGGGAATTTTAGTTGTTTGCTCACGGCCCCAGTTAAAAAAAAAAAAAAATCTTTAGCTTGTTGCAAGGCTGAATCGCGCTAAGGAAAGCAATTTCACTCTCCCTCACGGCTTTAATCAGAAATACGTGCAGAATTGATAAAATCTAGTGGCAGCCCATATTCTGTCTCAAAAGGTCAACGCTTTGGTCATAAAACAGCAGCTGTCATCCTGAGGGGGTGGAAGGTGAGATGAATCAGGTCTTCCTTCCTTTCGCCCACGGGGCTCACTTTTTGGCGCCTGTCTGGAGTCCCATAAGTAAGCACAAAAAAGTTTAAGAAACCGGAGGAGAACCAGCTCAGGTGGCATGCATTCACTCTCCAAGTGACAGAGGATGCAGGCTCAGAGACCTGGGCTGGCGGGACTGACATGAGCATTTTCCTGCTAAGATCATCCCCGATGACCAGTGTCCAGTAAATGACTCCCAGGGGACTCATGCTGAGATAGTTGCGTAAAAATCACAGGCTAACATGTCGCCAGCCACATCTTCTGTCCCTCCCCTCCCAAGCATAACTCACATCTGGCAATATTATTCAACACCGATCCCTAGGAGAGGAATGGGAAGCCAGAAAAGAAGTCAGTAATTAATGACAGCTCTGGTCTGGGTGATCTAAGGAGGTGTCAGATCAGCCAAAGACAGTTTGAGAAATTCCACCTACTTCTTTTTCACAAAGCAAATGATGAGTCCGAGGGCAAACAGCAGTAAGGCGCCACCTCCCACAACCGCAATGACGACGACAGTCAGGTCTGTGAGCAGAGACACAAGGAGGAGGGATGAGGAGACATGGGGGTGGTCAGGTGGATGAGGAACTGGGGCAGACAAGTCTCCAGAGATGGCTGCCATTCCTTCCCTCCCTCCCCGTACACAGACGCTGCTCCTGACAGCGAGAGGAGCCTATGTCCCTTCTTCTGGACTCTTCTCGACTTGCCGGTGCTGGAGTCCTTTAGAGGCCTGACAACTTCCTGTAGTTTCTGTCTGAGGGAGAGCCAGTCAGTCACCATGTAAGAAGTCTGAGGCCGCCATCTTGTGAGGAAGCCCAAGCCAACCGTGTGGCTACTCTGTGAGGACAACGGACCAAGGAACCCAGCTGAAGGCTGCCGGTGTCTGTCCCCATATGACCCATCCCTAGCACCTTCTAGCTGTTCGAGGCATCTGGCAGCAGCCCCACGTATCTAAGAGCAATATCTGTCCAAATTCCTGACCCATGGAGTTTCGAGCAAACAAAGTCTGCAGTCTAAGCTACTGAGTCTTGGGGCTGTTTGTTAGGAGGTGAAAGAGAACGAAAACAAACTGGGAGCCCTACTGGCTCCCTTCCAAAGGCTACTCGGGGCCTACCCAGGGGTGTGTCTGCCCAGGCGCCACAGCCTAGATGGGAGAGCAGAGCAGAGGGCTATAGGGGAAAGCAGGGAAGCCAAAATCAGAAGTGAGGGTGCTAAGGACAGGGTTGATCTATCTGTGCTGTCCTTTTCCTATGGTTGTACAAAGGACAGAAGAAATAAATCAGACAGGGAGCCCTGTGCCAAACAGGGATTTAGAAGTTCTTGCTTCAACAAGAAAGCAAAAAAGAGAGAAATCAAAATAGAAATAAATGGGGAACTATTTGGCTCAGTCCATGGAGCATGCGACTGTTGATCTCGGGCTTGTGAGTTTGAGCCTCACATTGGGTGTAGAGATTGCTTAAATAAAGAAATAAAACTTAAAAAAAAAAAAGTAGAACTAAATGACAGAAAATGGATGTAAGAGAGTCAGAAAACCCAGGGCCTAACCTGAGAGTTTGGGAGAGCTTCTCACTCATGGCTTCTGGTTCACATCAGTTCTCTTGATGCTAACGGGTGTGTGGCCTTGGGTGGACACATAGCCCCTCTGACCGCCAGGAAGGGAATGGGCCAGGAGAAGCGACCTCCACGGTCCCTTCTGGTTCCAACACTCTGGGATGCTCTATGACTACCTTGGAATAAAGGCAAATGCGGCCCCACCACAATTGCTGTGCCACACAGGCATTTCCTCACTGGAGACTCGTGGGCAGATCCTGCGACTCTGAGCAAAAGGCCTGCCACCAAGGGCATCTTGTGGATTCCCATGTTTCCCTGGACTCAGTAAAAAAATGCCAACGCCAAGGGGTGCCTGGGTAGCTCAGGTACTCGAGTGTCTGACTATTGATTTTGGCTCAGGTCATGATTGTGGGGTTGTGAGACCAAGTCCTGTATTGGGCTCTGTACTCTTAGCACAGAGTCTGCTTAAGATTCTCTCTTTCTCCCTCTGCCCTTCACCCTGCTTACGCACACACACACACATCCACACGCACATACATACTATCTCTCAAATAAATAAATAAATAAAATCTTTAAAAAAAAATAATGCCAGTGCCAAGTTCTGTGTCACACTTTCCAGGTCCCCACATTTGAATCCCCAACACTTGAAATCCTAATGATACTTCTATGAGGTAGTTTTTACCATCTACCCTCTAAGATGCATAAGGTGAACAGAGTGAAGAGCCTTCCCCCACGCCAGAGAGAGATTAATAGTAAATGACAGTGACAGATGGATGATAAGATTGTCCTAGTTCTCCCCATTTCTCCCTGAACCATGTCCTATACTATGTGACTCTGCAGATCCTTCCACCAAAAGGGGAGTCTATCTGTCCATCCCTTGGATTCTTTGGCAGACCCAAAGAATTCTGTAGAAGGGATGGTGGGAGTTCCTAACCCAAACATCAAGAGACCTTGTGTGCTTCCTCCAGAATCTCTTGGATTTCTCTGCCTCTGCCATGAGAACAAGGCCCAGGCTGGAGTGACAGTGAGCATGGGGAGGAAAGCCAAGGAACCTGGTTATTCCAGCAGATTGTGGCTATGCCCATATGTGTGAGAGTGCATGGCCAAGACCAGCAGAGTCCTCTGGCCGCCCACAGCTGCCTACAGGTGCAGGAGTGAGTGAACCTGGATAAGCCCAGCTCACACCAGCATCACCCAGCCAATGTGTGAGCAATAAGAAATGACTGTCTTTAAGGCCCTGAGTTCTGGGTGGTTTGTTATATGGCATGACCAATGCAAATGCTGACTGATACATGGACACTCAGTCATGTTTTCTGACTTGCCTCACAGGCTTGCCCCCTACCCTTCAGCTGCCAATTTGCTGTCCACCACCACCCTCCCACAAGACCTTGCAGGCCCTTACCCATAGTCCTTGGGGTAAGCAACACCCAGAAGAACAGGTCCAGCTGCTTGCCACTCACAGGGCTGCAGTTGGAGATGTTGACCCAGAAGCTGTGGTGGTGGAAGCTTGGCTTGGGGAGCACCTCGTCCTCCAGGCTGAAGATCTCCTCTGCCTTGCTCCGCTGCTCCTGGATGATCATGAATGCACGTCCCGTCTGGCAGACAACGCCGGTCCTCTCCTTGAGGAAGGTCAGGCAGGCCACCTGGTTGCTGGGCACACTGATGTTCCAAGACACGGACGTGAGGGATGGCAGTCCCCGGTCCCAGTTAGGGCTCCTCAGGTAGACCTTGCCTTTTGTGTCTGGGGTCACTGTGAAAATACCTTCCTCTGCAGGAAAGGGGAGAGAATCCACACAAGATGTTTCACTGAATCAAAACTGATGTTAACCTGTCTAGACTTTTTCTAGAGTTTTCTGCAATGACAGAAAAGTTCTTCACAGGCTCACCCCATTTTATTAGGCTTTGCAGATTCTGCCCCCACCCCAAATTGGAGATTTGTGGCAACCCTACATTGAGCAAGTCTATGGCACCATCTTTCCAATAGCATTTGCCACTTTGTGTCTCTATGTCACATTGTGGTGATTCTTGTGACATTTCAAACTTTTTCATTATTGTATTTGTTACGGTGATCTGTGATTGGTGATTTTAACTTGCTGAAAGTTCAGATGATGGTTAGCATTTTTTAGTAAGGAAGTTATTTTTTCTTTCTTTAAAAGACTTTATTTTTAAGTAATCTCTACATCCAATGTGGGGCTTGATCTTACAACCCCGAGATCAAAAGTTGCACACTCTACCAAGTGAGTGAGCCATGCAACCCGGCAATAAAGAATTTTAAAATTAAGGCATGTACGTTGTTTTTTTAGACAGTGCTATTGCACACTTACTAGACTACAATGTGGTATAAATAGAACTTTTATAGGCACTGGGAAACCAAAAAACTCATTTTGCTTGCTTTATTGAGGTCTGGAACCCAACCCACAATATCTCCTGGGTGCCTGTATCTGCACTGTCCATCCAAGCACGTAACCATCACCATGTGTGTTTGTAGAAGACCCAAAGTGTGCTTGTGACCGAGGAGCTGAATTTTTTTATTTTGCTATTAATTTAAATATAAATTGCCACACAGAGCCCGTGACTATTCGTCAGCCCAAAGATTAGAGTCTCAGGTGAGGTGTTCAGGTTTTTTTAACAAAACCAACCAACCAGACAACAATAACAAAACCCCAGGCTAGTTGGCTAAACTGCAGGTTATCTCTAAAAGCTTCCTTTCAGAAACACCCTCCATGCTTAGAGTCACCCTACGCTCTGCTCCACAGTGGGACCGGTACAGAGGGATTTCTATGTCCGAGATCAAACCACTCTGGTTCTGGGAAGAATGGTAGAAATGCAAAGCTGAAGGCCTCCGACAGACACGTCAGCTGACCTTCAGGTGAGATGAAACTCCAACATTCCACACTGAGGAGGGTATATCTCGTTCTCTAAGTCTCCCTAGAAGGAGTTTCTCAGGGAGGTGTGGGGACATCAGGCAGCCTGGACTGACCTTAATCTTATGGCCAAAGATTCTTCTCCCTTCCCACTCAGGTCTCTGGGAACAAAGTATGAAGTAAACCTCAGATAAAAGTCTTGGTCAATTTTTTTTTTAAAGAATATATTTACTTATTTGACAGAGAGAGAGAGACGCAGCGAGAGAGGGAACACAAGCAGGAGGAGTGGGAGAGGGAGAAGCAGCCTTCCCGCTGAGCTGGGAGCCTGATTCGGGGCTAGATCCCAGGACCCTGGAATCATGACCTGAGCCAAAGGCAGATGCTTAACTACTGAGCCACCCAGGCACCCCAGTCTTGGTCAATTTTTTAAAAAAATTTATTTATTTATTTGACAGACAGAGATCACAAGTAGGCAGAGAGAGAGAGAGAGAGAGAGACAGACAGACAGACAGAAGAAGGCTCCCTGCTGAGCAGAGAGCCCGATGCGGGGCTTGATCCCAGGACCCTGGGATCATAACCTGAGCCAAAGGCAGATCTTAACTACTGAGCCACCCAGGCGCCCCAGTCTTGGTCAATTTTTAAATGGTCTCTGACTTTGAGCCACTTGTAACGGCGACTGTGACTTTGAAAACCAACCACGGGGAGCTCACTGTTGCAAGGGATTTAAACCCCACTCACTGCCCAGCACCCTGAAGATCAAACACTAGCCTTGTGGGAGGGGTTGTGCCCTGTGCTGTGAACAGGACCCTGGTGCTCTGGAGACCCATCTCTCCCCAGCCTGCCTTCCTCTGTGCACTCCACGTCACATTCCGAATTGTCGAAGCCGACTCACAAAAATGCCTGGGTAAGGATTTTTATGCTCCCACCTTAAACATCCAGGAGTCAGGAATATCTACTTAGCTCTCCTCTAAGCCCCTGCCTGCTTCCAAAAAAGGCTTGAATTTGATTATTTGTTCTGCTGCCTGCCAACGGTCACCTCCCACGGTCAGAGCCTTATTTTTAACTCCCGGGATTTTCCACACTAGGTGAATGGCGGAGTCCAGCTGAGGTCACACTACCTTCCAGATTTCTGGTGAGAGGACCCGCCCACCCAGCTCTCCCAATTCTTCAAGCTGACAACTTAATGGTGGACGATCCCAGAAACAAAATGAGAGGGATGCCCAACCAAGAAATGGTCAGGGAGATGTGGCGAGAGAGGGAGACCTCCTTACCTTTGAAGTACGGTATGAAGGACACGGTCAGACCCTGCCTGGCGGCCTCTCGTTGAACGTTGGGGGCAAAGGTGCGGAGGGTCACTGAGATGTTCTGCTTCACCTGGATCTGCTCGATGGAGCCTCCGGGGCAGAAGGAGCCAAAGTAAAGGTCCTGGCCGGGGACGGCGCTGGCCACCAGGTATCCAAAGCTTGTGTTGCAGACCTTCTCCTGAGTGTGCTGTTGGAGCTTCTGGGCGGGTACCAGCACAAGGCTCAGCCTGTTCTTGGGGACCAGCAGCTTCCAGGAGAAGTCGTGCAGCTGAACAGGCAGGTGGAGGATGTCCCCAGGCACCTGGAGGGATTGGGACCTCCTGTGGCAGTACCGGGGGTCCGTGCAGCCTGGAAAATAGGGACTCGTGGTACCAGGAGGGGAGGGGACCAGCCGTGTGACCTCCTCAGCTGTAGAGACTGCCCCAGGCTTTCTTGCTTTTCCCTTTGGTCTCTTCTCTCCCAGTCTGTCCCCAACTCCGGGCTCCCTGATACTCCTTTTCTAGCTGCCCCTTTCACCCTCTCAGGTTCTTACTCTGCCTGAATTTGCAGACCAACTTCTGGGGAGTACTGAGGGTTGAAAAGAAGTGTGTCAGCCTCTCTTCTGAGGCTGAGTCTCAGATGCTAAGTATGGGCTGGGCACAGGTTTTTTTTCCCTCCGCCCTGCTTCCCAGCGTCCTTGACTGTGGGGAGGTAGCTTTGTGCAGCGGTCAGAGCAGGGGTGGGGTTGGGGTAGGTATCAGCTCGCAGCCCAGCTCTGCCACTTCCTAGTGGGCAGCCTGCCTCGAGTCTTGTGGCCTCAGCTGTTGCATCTGTAGAAACTCTAAGGCCATCCATGTTGGAGGTCACGCAGCCCAGCGGGAAGGGGACTAGCAGTTTTCCTGCCCTTCATTCATCAAACGTTTAGTACGTGACTAATACATGTCTAGCACTGCCAGGGGCTCAAGGGACCAAAAAACAAACAAACAAACAAAAAACCAGAACAAGCCACAATGTTTGACCTCAAGACTCTCAGTCTCAAGCAAGAGGAGACAAGTGCACAATGAGTGTGGAGGCAGGGTTGGGGGGAGTGGAGGATGGGGAGGCTACACGGAGGAGGGGATCTCAGGAGAGATGCTGGAAGGCTGGGCAGAGGACACAAGCATGAACTTTGGGGTGCAATGCACTTCTGAAGGATGCCCATTCCCACTGAGCCTCTGGTCCTGGAAGGGCACGTTTTCACCTCACCATCTGCTGCCTGCCCATTGCTCACTCTGCACCGTGATGGTGGGGGGGCATCTCTGATCTTACTATTTACAGCCTACCCAGTGGACCCCACTAAGAAGATGGGGGAGCAGGGAAAGTTGCCCCAGCCCCGGGTAGGGGAATCATCCTATCCCAGGGGGACGTACTTAGGGTTTTCTCCCCATTCATCCACAGGCGAGTCAGGTTATCACAGAGGAAGGAGATCTTGTGTTTGGAGCCGGACGTCAGGGTGAGGTTGGTGGTGCAGGTGCGGGACTCCAGACACACGAAGCAGCCGGGGACAAACTTGCGGCTAAGCTTAACGGGCCGTGGCTCAATGGTGAGCGACAGCGTTTGCTCGTTACTCAGGTCGACCAGGTAGATTTTATCTGAAACCATGAAGAGAAAAGAAGCCTGAGGCATGGATCAGCAGCCACTCCGTGAAGGGGCAAAAATTAGCACAAAACCTCTCATGGCTGGGGAGCGTTGGAAACACGTTTTATAATTAAGAGAATATACAAGTGGACGCCTGGGTGTCTCAGTCAGTGAAGCGTCTGCCTCTGGCTCAGGTCCTGATCCCAGAGTCCTGAATTCAAGTCCCACGTCGGGCTCCATGCTCAGTGGGGAGTCTGCTTCTCCCTCTCCCCTCCCCCCGCCATTTGTGCTTGTTCTCTCTCTCTCTCAAATAATAAAATCTTAAAAAAAAAAAAAAAAGAACATACAAGAACTCTAGAAGAAATTTAAAAGGAAAAATAACTGACTGAATTTCTACCACCCATATTTAACCGTTTTTACTTCTTCAAATTCATTTTAGTCCTTGTTCATATGCATGATTTTCAACTGCTTAAAAGTATAGTATATATAATTTTATACTCAGCTTTTACCTTATTACTTTACACAGGTTTACTTATTTTTCCATACAGTTTTCATAGTCACGAGTCTTTGAAAATATCCAGTAATTTAGTGGCTGTGTGATAGTTAACAAGTGAGATTTACGACTGTTTATTGAAACAGTCTCCTGTTATGAATAGTAATTAGCAACAGTATAGCATTAGCATGGGGATAGAAGATTCATAGATATTATATTTCTTCCAAGATAGTATTATTATTCACAGATATTATATCCATTGATATTATAATTTAGTCTTTAATAAATGCTGTACTTCAAATAAGTGAGAAAAAGACAAACTGCGCCTGGCTCGGCTAAACTATCTCTCCCATTAGTAAAAGAATAAAATTAGACTGGTATTTCAAAGCAAGGAGAATATCCTTATAAATGTGGAGGTCAAACCCTAAAAGAAGAAAAGTTTAAGTACCTGTCTGACAATAGGTACTGAAATGTTGAAGGACAAGGGACACATTGGGGGAAAAAAATATTTGTCACACAGATGGATTGAGCAGTTCACAAAAAAGGGGAAACTGAAATGTTCACAAATTCAAAATATAAAGCATTCTTAGTATCATGTGCAGTATCACTTGTCATCGCAGAAAAGCAAATTAAAACACAGTGTAGAGGGACGCCTGGGTGGCTCAGCGGGTTAAGCCTCTGCCTTTGGCTCAAGGCATGGTCTCGGGGTCTTGGGATCAAGCCCTGCATCAGGGTTCTCTGTTCAGTGGGGAGCCTGCTTCCTCCTCTCTCTCTGCCTGCCTCTCTGCCTACTTGTGATCTCTCTCTCTGTCAAATAAATAAATAAAATCTTTAAAAAACAAAAACACAGTGTAGAGGGTGACATTGAAAGGTTGCATCCTTGGGACCCCAGCGGTATGACTGGGGAATACAAGCTCATGTTTGCACTGCAGCTCTGGAACTGTGGAAAACCAGACACCACATAATACGGGAAGGGTTAAATACTCTGTGGAACATTCATGGATGGAATGTTACCTAGCATTTAGAAAGAAAGAGGGAGATCTAGGGGAACCTCGGTGGCTCATTCGGTTAAGCATCTTTGTTCGGTTCACATCATGATCCCTGGGATGGAGCCTCACGTCAGGCTCCCTGCTCAATGGGGAGCCTGCTTCTCCTTCTCCCTCTCCATCTGCCGCTACTCCCTGCTTATACGCGCATGCATGAGCAAGCGCTCTCTCTCTCAAATAAATATATAAAATCTTAAAAAAAAAAGAAAGAGGGAGATCTAAATATACCAATCGAAGAACTTCCAAGATACAGTGTTGACTAAAACAGCAAGTGTAGAACAAATGTTGACTGTGACACCACCCGATTATACAATCTCGGCATCAAAAGTAATCACTATTTCTACGTGTATATACTTATGTATGGAAATGAAGAGAAACAAGATCTGGAGAGAAATGCAACAAATCCGTAACTGTGGTTACCCCAGGAAAGGAGCCAAGCGTGGGGTGCCACACACGATTTGGAATACCTCTTGCTTGCTGACCGAGCTTCTCTGGAGGGTGATCTGATCAGACTGCTTCCTGAGGAACCCATAACATATACGTGTTCAACCTCTTCTCTCGGGTTGGTTGGATTCCCCCAGAGAAGAGCCCGCCATCCACCAAATCGAGGAAACTCACTCAGGGCTTCCCACGAAGGAAGCAGGATGGGGCCTGGAGTCCGGCCCATTAACCTTATTCAAGCTGCCTGTGTCCAGCACCTTTACCTTCAGTGCAACTGGGATCTTTGGTTCAAAAACTTCCCTACTCCAGGGAAGAAACTGGGAGGAGTGTTCCTGGGCTGCTTGGTGGATCTGGGGCTGGAGTGGCTTCTCCCACTTTTCGCCCTCGTTCTGAAGGTGATGTGTTGCCAATTCCTGCCTTGGAAAGTTTCTTCTCGATGTCTCCCACTATAGGATTAGACTTTGCACTTTTGGGTCTGCCGAATCAGTTACGCCTCTATGTCCCATGCTGGGAAACGTTAGAATATTGTTTCCTTTCTATGTATCATTTCCCTTGGAATTTATGCTTTTAGAAATGTTTTAAATGCCATGACAGTGTGGTTTAAGAAGGAAGCGAATCTCTCTTTAATGGGAAGCCCTCATTTTCCAATTAGTTGTCTGTTTTTCCCATCAGAAAGTGAATTTCAGGAATCTCCATAACCTGTGTATCTTGCACATGGTCGAGACCCCTTGATGTGTTATTTTGTTAATCCTCATGACGTGCTTGAGAGGGCGTGTGTCAGTCAGCTCCAGCTGTTATGCTGCAGTAACAAATGGTCCCCAAATCTGAAGGTTTAGAATAACCAAGATTCATTCTTCATTCCCCTTACATAGCCATTGTGAGCTGGCTGTGGCACCAGAGCTTGTCTTTTTAGTTCTTCTTCTTCTCCTTTTTTTTTTTTTTTAAGATTTTATTTATTTGAGAGAGAGAGAGCGTGCGCGCGCACGCACATGAGTGGGGGGAGGGGCAGAGGGAGAAGCAGGATCCCCGCTGAGCAGGGAGCCTGACCTGGGACTTGTTTCCAGGATCCTGGGATCAGGATGGGAACTGAAGGCAGATGCTTAACCTACTGAGCCCCCCAGGCATCCTGTGTCTTTTTAATTCTGAGATCTGGGCTGAAGGAGAAGGCTCTGTGACATGTCAGTCTCCTGACAGAGTTTGAAAGGTGAACCATAGGATGGGTGGTGAAGCTTCCGCTTGGAAGGGGCATACTTACTTCTGCTCATATTTCACTGGTAGAAGCAAACTCACGTGGCCAAGCCTGTAGCCAGTGGGGCAGCAAATCTAATCCTCCCCCAAAAGAGGGGGTGATGATTTGGGAATAAATATACAATCTAGAGTAGTAGGCTTCCTCACCCCTATTTGACAGACAGGGAAACAAACACCAGGAGATGGTGGGACTAAGATTACAAAGCCTGAGCTCTTTCTGACCTCTGTGGACCCCAGTTTCCTCTTCTCCAGCCAGTGGCTGGGCAGAGGAGACAAGAAACCATGGGAACCCTGGGCCTGGCTTCTCGAAACTCCTATATGGATGATGTCCCCTCTGAAAAAAATGTATCAACAGCCATCTGATCCCAAGATGAGAGCAAAGCTGTACCTCGATGTGCGTTAGAAATGCACCACATTGGGGTGCCTGGGTGGCTCAGTGGGTTAAGCCTCTGCCTTCGATTCAGGTCATGATCACAGGGTCCTGGGATCGAGTCCCGCATCGGGCTCTCTGCTCGGCAGGGAGCCTGTTTCCCCAACCCCTCTCTGCCTGCCTCTCTGCCTGCTTGTGATTTCTCTCTCTGTGTGTCAAATAAATAAATAAAATCTTAAAAAAAAAAAGAAATGCACCACATTTGTCAGACTTGCTGTAGTTCAAGGACAGTTCTTCAAATATTGACCTATTTTTACGGCCCCCACTGTACTCCAGGACCTTTTCTTTGGGAAGTTCAAAATTTAGATTTGTTTAAGGTAATACTGCCTTAATCATGTCAATTTTTATAAACTACAAATCTGAAGCCTAGAAAACTAATGTAACTTCTCCCAAGTCACATAGCTCACTAGTAGCATTCTGACTCCAAAACCCACTAACCACTGGCTGTAGCTTTCCTTGACTTTTTTTGGTCACGTAACTTACATATAATAAAATGCACAGACCTTAAGTGCTCAGTGTGATGAGTTTTGTCAGCTTTCTATATTCATCGTATCTATCACCCAGAGCAAGATCTAGAACATTCCAATTATTCCAGCAAGTTCCTTTGTGCCCCTTTGTGGTCAATTCCGCTTGACTTCCAGTCATGCCCCATGAAGGCCATCACTTTCTGATTTCTATCACTGCAGAGTTCACCTGTTCTGGAACTTCCTATGAACGGAATCATACGGTATGTGCTCCCTCCTGTGCGGCTTATTCCCCCTCAGGAAAATGTACTCAGTCGCTTTTTTCCTCAGAAAAATGGATATCAGTCGCTTTTTCCTTGTCATCATGGAGTGGAGTTCCACAGAATGAATTTACCACACTTGTTTGTTCCTAGATTGATGGAGATTTAGGTTGTTTCCAATGACGAATAAAACTGCTGTATACATATTCTTCTATGGATCTTTGAATAGACTTCTGGTTTCATTTCTCTAGGGTAATTACCTAGGAGGAAAATTTCCGCCAGATTGTTCTCTCACGTGATTGTACCTTGGTGCCCATCTGCCGACCGTGTGTCCGGGTTCCAGTGCCCCACGTTCTTGCCAACACTTGGTGTGGCCAGCCTTTCTTATTTTAGCCATTCTAGTGCACATGGAATGGTCCTGTGGTTTTATGGTTCCTATTTCCTTTGAAAGTCACTGTAGAATGATCAAGGGAGAGTGATGAGACACCCTGCCCTTGAGCCAAAACAGAGAGTGGAGTTTGTTGAGGAAAATGATCCTGATTCTGGGGCAAGACAGGCCTTGCTCCGTGGGGGCATGTCTGGAGGACCCTGGCCTCCGTGCTCACACACCGCAGGGGTCCAGCTTTCCAGTTCTGCAAATACATCCCCTTTGTTAGTCACTTGATATGGCTTCTTTTCCACAGTTTTGGTTGGCTCTCAGGATAGACACAGTAAATTCCCATGCTGCCTAAGGCATGTGCTCATAGGTGGCTTCCGGGGTCTGGGCAGAAGGGAAGTTTGTGTCCCTCACCTGTCACAGGTGGGGTGGTTTAAAGGGAAATGTCACCATCCACATTCCTAAATCTATGGAAAGATAAGACAGATTTTACTCAGTGTCGCCTGTGTGCTCTGACAAGTGGCCTTATCCTACCCTCAGCAGGAGGAGCAGGAGAGGTGCGAATGTCACCAATTACAGCTGAAAAAGACCTCAGAGAGACTCCAAGCATTTGCTCAAGGCTAGGAACCTAATGGATCGTTTCCTGCGGCAAGAGAATCCCCTATTTTCTCTACAACATGGCACACATTTCCTTCCTGTAATAAATACCTGGGCTGGAGATTTGAAAAGACACCTCCCCTCTGCCCCCATAAAAGGACAGTCTTTCACTGTTTGATCCTTATTGACACTGGAAACCCTTGATGGGATTAGCTTATGGACTGAAGTTTTGAAAAGGCCTCTAATGACTTTTGTGGGGTCTGTAGATAGAAATTTCTCACTTTATTTATTTATTTATTTTTATTTATTATTTTTTTAATAGACAGAGTGTGTGTGTGTGCGTGAGTGTGCGTGAGGGGGGTGGGGAGGAGCAGAGGGAGAGGGAGAGAGAGAATCTTAAGTGCCGAGCCAGACTTAGGGCTCGATCTCACGACCCTGATATCATGACCTGAACTGAAATCAAGAGCCGGATGTTTAACTGACGGAGCCACCCAGGCATCCCCGAGATTCCTTACTTTAAAATCAGAATGGGCTCCATGGGAATAAGAGGCCACCATACGGGTAAAATGTCAAATGTCAATTTGCCAGGACAAATGTCAGACTCACAGAGCTTGAGTTACCCAAAAAGACAAAAACAGAATGAAGTCAACGTTTTGTTAAGGGCTCCGGGTAGCTTCTGGGGGTCTATAGGAAGAAGCCATATGGCTGCTTCCCCAACCAGCATTTACTCAGACTGGTTAATGGAAACCTACAGTGTAACAAGCTGGAAACTCCTGTTCATCTACCTTAGTTGAGTCACAATAACCCAGAAGCCCATGGGTTCGGAAGATACTCGTTCATCTGGTATTTTCAGAGGAAGTGACCACACCTTCAAAAAGCTGGAGGGGGACGCATAAGGCAGCAGGTTTGCAGTCTGTCCGGGCTAACGGGAACCATATGGTTGGGCAGGTTACTATTCACTGGTGGGACCGGTATCCCCAGGGCCATTGGACCTTGCAGAAATGATATAAAAAGAGGAACAGGCTGTAGGAGACAATAGAGATGTTGTTTCTCTACCGTGACTATGAGGATGAAAATCCAAGGGGGACAAAATTATTTTGTATATTTCTAGGAAGTGATGGGGCACTAATACCAGGTATGACAGGGTAGTACGGTTGACCCTTGAACAGTGCGGGGTGAGGGGCGCTGACTCCCTCCCACAGTTGAAAGTGTCCATGTAACTTTTTACTCCCCCCCCCAAACTTAACTACTAGTTAGGGTAGTTAACATAGCCGATTAACATGTATTTTGTACGTCATATGTATGAGGTACTGTATTCTTATAATAAAGTCAGCTAGAGAAAAGAAATTGTTATTAAGAAAAGCATAAGGAGGGGCGTCTGGGTGGCTCAGTTGATTGGGTGTCTGCCTTCAGCTCGGGTCATGATCTTGGTGTTCTGGGATCAAGCCCCATGTTGGGCTCTCTGCTCAATGTGAAGCCTGCTACTCTCTCCCCCTCTGTGCTCCTCTCCCTGCTCACGTTTGCTATCTCTTTCTGTCCAATACATACAATCTTAAAAAGAAAAGAAAAAAATCATAAGGAAGAGAAAATCCTTTTACGGTATTATATTGTATTTATTGGAAAAAAAAAATCTGTGTACAAATGGACCCATGCAGTTCAAACCCATGTTGTTCAAGGGTCAGCTGTATTGTACTATTAAAAAAATTAAAAATAAAGAAGAGAGTGTAGAATGGAACACTGAATAACAAGATTTGTTTGGTAGAGATGAACGTGAATCGAGCTCTTGAACCCAGCTGAGCTGTGTGCTTTGGGCAGCCTAAGTGGTCAGTGCTCACAAACATGGCCACAGGGCCAGGGGGGCACTCGTCAGGCTCAGGGCAGCCCGCATGCCTCATCCCACGGCATAGGATATCTGTGGCCAAGCCATGGAAAGACACCCCTGGAGGGCTCCTCCTAGTCTACTCTGGGTCTAGTTTGAGCCTATCTGATATATTATTAAAATTATTGTTTTTTTAATTTTTTAAAAAGATTTTATTTATTTACTTGATAGAGACACAGTGAGAGAGGGAACACAAGCAAGGGGAGTGGGAGAGGGAGAAGCAGGCTTCCCGCTGAGCAGGAGCCCAGGCACCTGCCTATCTGATATTCTTAAGCAAAGGAGAAACAGAGTAGGAGTGCCTGGGTGGCTCAGTCAGTGAAGTGTCTGCCTTAAAGACTTACAAAGGGCCTGGAATGTGCCAGAAACCATGGTGAGTGTGGGAAGATGGAGGAATAAAACAGATTCCTGACTGGGAAGAATTTAGTGGGACCCAGATGTGCAGACAGATCGACATCACGGTGTGTGATGAATGCAAACCCCGCCCCCACAAGTGCACTTGGAGTCGTGCCTTTGGTTTGGACGGTTGTTTCTTCTGCTGGGGACAAAGGGGGACAATCAAGGGGCAAGGAGCCCTGGCCTGGGCAGCAGGAGGGAGGCCTCCATGGGAGGACCAGCCGCAGGAGGTTTGCCTCCCTCCTCACTCTTGCAGGAAGGAAAGGCAGAGGCTCCTAACCGAGGCACTCAGTCTCCTGAAGCATCTCCCCGCCCCAAACCTTCTTCTTTCTCATTCCAAGGCCAAGAAAGAGCAGAAACAGCACACAGAGCCCCTGGCGGTGGCAATGAGGGGGCACCAACCATCTGGGCCTCCCCAGTACGCTCCCCAGGCTCTGCCATGAGTGTCCTCCTGGAATTCCTGCCAACCTGCTGTGCGTTTCCAGCCTTGAAGTCCTGGGAGTTTCCAGGACCTCCTGCAAACCTTTTCTGGGTTGTGGTCTGGTGAAAGCCAGTTTAACAATTTGATGAGTTGCGGAAACCAACTCAGCTCTTGTTCCAGGCAATGCAATAAATCGGCAGCCTTCCCCGCAGCAAAGATGATAAACAAATCCCTTGGTCTCCTAAACGCAAACCCACACCATCTCCAGATGTTTACATGGCTGTTTTCAACATCGGGATGATGCAGTTGTGATAGTGGAATCACAATGTGTTGGCGGACACACACGCACACAGTGATGCCATCTATATGGTTATTGTAAATCAAAAGGCATCTTAGGTCATGCTGGGGCCGCAGCTTCCGGAAAAACCCAGAAGGTATTCCCCAGGCAGCATCCGCGGGGCAGCCCCTGCTGTGGGTCCCACACGGTGGCGTTCCAGATATTTATCAGCTCTACTGAAATAAACGTCATGTTGTCACTTAGCCATTTCTGTCTGGCTCCGTCTACTTCCCGGAAGTAAATACTGATCGAAACAAGGCCGAGAATCAGTGCTCGGGACAGAACTCCTCTTGAGCCCATGTCATGGCCTCAAGACCATCAGTCACACCCTTGGTCCTTCATAGACTCTAGCTGATAGACAGGCCCCAGGAACAGCCACTCTGAACTCCTCTCGGACCTTTGGTTTCAATAACTACACTGCCCCCCATGGAGCCAAGTTCAAGGAGGCACTCGCCCTCAGGGGCTGACTTTGTACGTACACCACCCTGAGGGGGATCATCTCCGTCTCAGAGGGGGTGCCTCCTTCTGTGTTGCATGCTGGGCACTTTGTCCTAGTCCTGGCCCTGATGCACCTTTTCTGGGTTCACGGCATCTCAGTAAATGTGTGTAAAGGGATGTGCAACCTCGTTCTCATCAACATAGCTGGGGTTCAGAGTGACCCAGAGCACGGGCTCTCGGTTCTGAAGTTTGCTCAGTTCCTGACAAGCTGCGTAATGTCGGGCTCGTTCTAAACTGTCTCTCAACCTCCTGTTTTTTCACATAACTGAGGATAACTCCTGCCTCCCCTATAAGGTTGTACTAAGGCTTAGCTGAGGCTAAGTGGCGTGCTTAGGTCAAGGCTCGGCACGGAGTGTGTGTGTGCATGGTACGGGGCACTTGGCCAGTTAAACAGGGTCCACCAGCCGACGGTCCTGGTGCCATTCTGATTCACATGGAGGGTCAAGACAGGTGATCCAGAAAGTAACCTTCTGGGGATGCCTGGGGGGTTCAGTCAGTTAAGTGTCCAATTCTTTCACTCAGGTCATGATCTCAGGGTCGTGAGATAGAGCCCCACATCAAGCTCTGTGCTGGGTGTGGAACCTGGTTAAGAATTTCTCTTTCCCACGACCATCCCCCCACTGCTCATGCTCTCTCTCTCTCCAAAAAAAAAAAAAAAAAAAAGAAAGAAAGTAAAAGTAACCTTCCAACCCCTTTGTTTAAAAAAATAGCCTGCAATTTCCCATTTGCTTCTTACTGTGTTGAAATGGAGCGCCATGCCGGGCATTCACCCATGAGCCTGTTTTACTGCCTGGCAACACACTTCCTGAAACTCTTCTAAAGTCCAGAGTCCAAATGTGCCCAAAGCCACAGATGAAAAATAGGAAAGGGACCTCACGCCACGCAGACTATCCAGGAATGAAAGAAGGAGCTGGAGGAGGAGGGGGGAAAGGAAATTGGGGCTCACTTACTGCTTTCATTTTGTGGATGTTGGACCAAAACTTGAAACTGCAGCCGGAGGACCCCTGGGTTTTGGGCATCTTGGTCACAGCCCTGCAGAGAGAGGTTGAAGTTCCCGGCCATGTTCCCGGGCTGCTTGTCCTCCAGCCTGAACACCTCAGGGTTGGTGGTGGAGCCCGGGATGTAGTACTCAACCCGCTCCTCCTTCTTCTCGCAGTTGGAGACGTTGAAGTGAAGGAAGGAGACGCTCGCCCGCAGGTGCGCGGGGACGACAAACTGCCAAGTCATGAGCTCGTCCTCGGGGAAGCCATCTGGGTAGTTGGCAGACATCAGCGTTGCCGAACCTTCACCCTCAAACACAGATTCTATGATGCACAGTCCTGTCGGGAGTCGGACCCAAACGAGAACAGGAGGCGATTAGACCCTGTCCCAGACCCTAACCCCGCTGGAAAGGCAGCAGGGTAAGGAAGCTGTGAGAGCAACGCTCAGGTCCTGAGCTCTGGGTGTGGTCTTAATCCCAGATAAGGATACGTCTGGGGTGCACGACTAAATGTTGAAGGACCGACCCAGCAGGGGGAAAAAATCAAAGCCCTAGTTTGTAGTGTCTGCCCATTTCCTTGTTGTGAATACTCCCACCATGGCTGATTTCAAGCCACCAACAGGATATGAATGTGGAGTTTGGAGCAGATGGGCAGTAGTTTGCTGCTGTATGGCATTTTGGCCACAGAGGTACAATCGATATCAATAATCTCAAGGGTATGGGTAACAGTCAAATGCAGCAAAATAATTAGGAGGCGATGAGTTTTGAGCATCTATTACCTTTGTTTCTAAACAAATTTATTCTCACTGTAAGTTTATACCATTTTATTTCTATGAATGGCTCCATTTAGCATCAGCTCACAAAATTCCTGAACGTTCAACCACCAGCTGTCATGAACGGGTGTGAACTGGCTCCAGCACACCGAGGATACAATTACGGGAACGGTGAAAGGGCTCGAAGATGGGACAAAGAAATCATCAATGGGGTAATCAAGGGAGGTCTGCAGATCCATCCCACTTCGTATTCTGAAAACAAACCTCATGGGCACAAAGGATCAAGGAAAGAGAGTGGCCACACAGTTTGCTTAATAGAGAAGGCTGGGTTCACACCAGGGGATCTGCACCACCTCCAGAAGAGTGGGATCTTCCTTGGAGGAATTCAGGAGGAATCATACAATAGTGCGGACATCCGCCCCAGACCTAGAACAGGGGGTGGAGTTTGTAGGTTTCAGCCTGCGCCAAACTGACGGGCGGGGGGAGTGTGGAGTGGGGGGCGGCAGAGATGGAGGGCGCGCTTACGTTTTATAGAAGACCGGTTTGCAATGCTGAAGCCAGAGACGTTCCGGTTGTGGAACCAGGGCAAGTGCAAGGCCATTTTCACCCCTTCTTGCATTTTGATGCGGGACACCGTGCCGTTGCTGCAGAAGGTCCCGATCTTGACTGTGGTGGCATCAATGCGGCCGCTGATGGAGTGAGTGACTCCGTCTGGACAGCTCTCCCCGGGCCCAATCTGCCTCAGGCGAGGGATGGAGAATTGCAGCTCTAGACCAATGCTCTTGTGAGCTTTGACGTCCCAGACGAAGGTTCTGTTGAGGGTGGGCAGCGTCGATGTTGAGGGCTGAAGCTGGACATCCCCAAACGGACAGGGGCCTGACATGCAGTCTGAAACACAGTCACAAAAGCAAGTTTGGTCACCAACGGGACCTCTCCAGACCCCCGGAGCAGATGCTGCCTGCCCTTGCCTCCCTCAACAGGCAGAGGCATGATCTCCTGGCTGTATAGGTGCTAGAGGGGAAGCTGGGGGGCTGCGGGGAACCCCCTTGGGCCAGAGAGCCTGAAGGGACCAACTGCATCTCCTCCCCTCCCAGGGTGGGTAGCAGCCCACAGCCAATCACTGTTCCCCAAGGTAGGGGTGAAAAACCCTGACCTCCTTGTTTCAAGGGACACAGCCTGGCAATGCCCACATCAGCCTGTAGCTACACTTCAGCTAAAATCACACTTCATTTACTTCCTCCCTTGGCTCTATGTTCTCACGGCTTCCTCGCTTCCTCGCACCCTCTGGACAGATGACTAAAGAATCCCCGCATCAGGCTCTGCTTCCAGAGAACCAGACGCAAGATATCTCCTAAGTACTGTGTTTTCCAGACTTAGTAAGCCAGATGGGGGCCCTTTGCAATGGAACCTGGGCTCTGGGATACCCCACGTCCCCCTGGGTCTGAGATAGTCACAGTCTCACAGTTGTGAAGGCACAGTGCTGAGCTCAGCCTTTTTTTTTTTTTTTTTTTTTTTTTTGTCAGAGAGAGAGCAAGCACAGGCAGACAGAATGGCAGGCAGAGACAGAGGGAGAAGCAGGCTCCCCGCCAAGCAAGGAGCCTGATGTGGGACTCGATCCCAGGACACTGGGATCATGACCTGAGCCGAAGGCAGCTGCTTAACCAACTGAGCCACCCAGGCGTCCCTGAGCTCAGCCTTTTAAGATTGCTTTTCCCATCAATATACCGAGTACTCGGAACTTACAACCCCCTTCAGGGCTGGAACCCGGAGGCACAGTTATCATTCTGCCTCAGGGCTGTCATGCTGCTGTTTTACGACCAGTGCTGTTGAATTCTTTTTTTTTTTTTTTTTTTTTTTTACAGGCAAACAGCTAATGACATCCTTTGATGTATCTTGTTTCCTCAGCCTTTTAAAACGAAGCAAGAAACATTACTCTTAAGGAGAAAATGAGCCCGTAGGAGAAGTGATAGAAGCCAAGCAGAAAAGGGAGACTTTGCTGTGTCTGGTGCAGGGAATCCTAAAGGCCCAGTGGCTTCTGGCTCTGGAACAGGAACTCTCCCCACCCCTCGTGCTGCTCCAGTGGGGTGTCTGAAAGGACCACCAATGCAAAGTGGGATCACAGGAGAATTTCAGAGCTGGCTAGGACCTCCAAGGTCATTCCTGCCTGAACTCTCAGTTTTTTTTTTTTTATAAATCTTTTATTTATTTTTTTTTAAAGATTTTTATTTATTTATTTGTCAGAAAGAGAGAGAGAGCACAGGCAGACAGAGTGGCAGGCAGAGGCAGAGGGAGAAGCAGGCTCCCCACAGAACAAGGAGCCCGATGTGGGACTCGATCCCAGGACGCTGGGATCATGACCTGAGCCAAAGGCAGCTGCTTAACCAACTGAGCCACCCAGGCATCCCTGAACTCTCAGTTTTGCAAGGCGGTCCTGGAGTCTGGGTGACAAGCCTGTTTGCAGCGCACGCAATCCCAGGACGAAAGCCCAGGCTTGTGTTTGGTCCACCCGAGTTCTTGCCAACACATCGTGCTGCCTTACCCATGAAACGGGGTGAGATGATAAGGCAACGAAGGTAGCTAAAGCTAGATTTTGTGTGTGGGTAAAGATAGGAACTATTTTCAGGAGCTCACTGAAACTCCATTATATCAAGCCATCTCTGGGGCACCTGGATGGCTCAGTCGGTTAAGCATCTGCCTTCAGCTCAGGTCATGATCCCTGGGTCCTGGGATTGAGTCTCACGTCCGGGCTCCCAGGTCAGCAGGGATTCTGCTTCTCCCTCTGCCCTGCCCCCTGCTCATGCTTTCTCTCTCTCTTTCTCTCACTCTCTCTCAAATGAATAAATAAAATCTCGAAAAAAAAAAAAAAAAACCCAACAAAAAAACCACTCCTCTCAGGGTTTTCCAGCCACACCTCCAATGTGCCCAGGGCCACATTGATTGGCTCCTGCTGGGCTCTCATGGGATCTCTTAACCCTCTTAGACAGTGAGGGTTTTGTGTTTTGTTTCGTTTTGTTTTGTTTTAGCGCCCTGGTACATTTTGATATTAGGTTTGTAAGAATCTTATTACATCAACTATGAAAATTCACCTCTTTCTGTGTTCTAGAACAGGGGTCACCAAATCACAGTTCATGGGACCAGCTCAGCCCAATCCTGGCCACCAAGCACAAACATGTGGGACATCACTGCCCATGTTTCCCTATTTGTGGTTATTTCCTCCTGTAACAGCAGAGCTCAAGTGGTTGGTTTGGAGACGATCTGAGATTTACTATCCAGCCTTTCTCGGAAAAGATTTGCCAGCCCTCCTCTGGAATGGTTTAAATATAAGAACTTATCTTCTCCTTAAAACTTTAAAGGATTCTCTATGAAACCGTGTCTAACTGACCCAAACCCTGCTTTCCTCCATCTTGGACATGGTTTCCAACCTCCTCCTTGGTTATATATTTATTTAGATCTCCTAACTTCATAGGAGTCAATCTGGCTCATTGCATTTGTCCCCCAAATTAGTCCTTTTATTCAGATTTTCACACTTATTATCATAATGTTTTGCATAGCCTATTTTAGAAATTGTCTCTGTAAATGTCATTCAGTCAACATTTATCCTTTCAATGCTGTGTATCTGTGTATCTGTATGTTCTCTTTCTTTTTTTCCTGGGGAATAGTCAGAGATTTGTCTATTTAATTAGTCTTTATAGAGAACAGTGCCTTAGCTTTAGTTATCAGATGTAGTTGTTTTTTTTTTTTTAAAGATTTTATTTATTTGACACAGAGAGAAAGAGAGAGAGAGATCACAAGTAGGCAGAGAGGCAGGCAGAGAGAGAGAGGGAAGTAGGCTCCCTACTGAGCAGAGAGCCCGATTCGGGGCTTGATCGCAGGACCCTGAGATCATGACCTGAGCTGAAGGCAGAGGCCTTAACCACTGAGCCACCCAGGCCCCCCTATCAGATGTAGTTTTTTTTTTTTTAATTTTTAAAATTTAAAAAATTTTTTAAAAAGATTTTATTTATTTATTTGAGAGAGAGACAGTGAGAGAGAGCATGAGTGAGGAGAAGGTCAGAGAGAGAAGCAGACTCCCCATGGAGCTGGGAGCCCGATGCGGGACTCGATCCTGGGACTCCGGGATCATGACGTGAGCCGAAGGCAGTCGTCCAACCAACTGAGCCACCCAGGCGTCCCCAGATGTAGTTTTAAAGCTGCTGGTAAATACTTTAATTTCTCTCTCTTTCTTTTTATAGATTTTATTTATTTGAGAGAGAGTGAGAATGAAAGAGAGCGAGCATGAATGGGGGAGGGTGGCAGAAGGAGAGGGAGAAGCAGGCTCCACACTGAGCAAGGAGCCTGCCACGGGGCTCCATCCCAGGACTCTAGGTTCAGACACTTAACTGACTGAGCCACCTAGGCGCCCTCGTTTTCTGAACTTCTTCCCAAGGTTTATTTTACTCCCTTTTCTTGCTTATCTATTGTCTGATTCATTTATTTTCAATGAAAAGCAAAATAAATTTTCTGAGTATGGCTTTGATTGGATCCCAAATCATGTTCTCCTCATTGTTACTACATCTAGGCTACTAGTTGGCATGCCCACCTTAAAGCAATTAGGAAATTCTACATTTAATTCTCTCTGCCTGGTGCTTATATCTTGTGTCAATCTCCCTCCCATCCCAAGTTCAAATGACGAAGAATAACAAGAGTCCCACATAGCTGTAGTTTGTTACCTTGTGTGTCAAACATTTTTAGGTCATTAGTTTATCTCACCTTCAAAAGAGCCCTGCTGGTTGGTACATTGACTCTTATTTTATAGAAGAAAACACCAAGTCACAAAACAGTTAAGTGACTCATTTAAAGCCACGTGGTGAGCTCACATGATAAGGAGCCTGAAGCTTAAAGCCAGACCCAGCTCCCTCAGCCTCAAAGCTGCTGTTTTCCCCACTGTGCCTCTTGGACCCACTTCCCCAGCCTTATGTACCCAACTGTCCGATTTCTTTCCTTCCTTCCTCCCATCCCTCCCTCCTTCCTTGCCTTCCTCCCTCATTCCTTCTTTCCCTTCCTTCCTCCCTTCTTTCCTTTCTTTCTTTTAAGATTTTTACAGTAACCTCTATACCCAACGTGGGACTCGACCCTACAATCCCAAGATCAAGAGTCTCGAACTCCATTGATGGGACACCCAGGGGTCCCTCCAATTTCTTTGCCTTCCCGCTCCCTTGCTTTCTGCTCCTTGTCAGCAAAATTTTAGCTTAGAATTTAATTAGTTTAAATTTGAATTAAATTAGCTTTCAAGCTTTAGTTCAAACACTTTAAACTTAGCACATCTGCTGGAGCTTTCCAGATCTATAGCTCTGTCAAGAAACAGTGTGGCACAATGCTCTGCAGAGCACTTGGGTTCTTGCCCTGCTGCTACTTAATAGCTATGCTATCTTAGGCAAGTCAGTGCCTTTGTGAGTTTCTCCTAGGGCTGTTTTGGAGCTTCAACAATGTAACCTGTGTAAAGGGCTGAGAACCACCAGCAGCCACATCACAGCTAAAAAGTGTGAGTTTCAGCATTAGAGGCATTTCCCCCATCCCAAAACAGGGGCAGGGAGGCCAAACATTGGTGAGTGTGTACTTACCGATATTCTTCTGGACCTCAATGACAAAGTGCTTCTCTGGGTCATGGCAGGTGAAGGAAAAGACCTCTTTTTCTCCAGATTTGATGGTCAATGAGGTTTTATATTTTTTAGAACTACTGATGTAACAGGGCTTCAGCGGCAGGGGTCCCAGGGGTGAGGTCCCAGGCTTTATGAAAACCGTAATGCCACTTCCATGCGGCAGGGCAATCTCAGAAACTCCTGGAGGAGGAAAGAAAAACGGAGTGAGCAGGGTGATTTATTTAGGTCTCCCAAATTGCTGCTGTCCCC